GAAAACAAACCATTCGCCTTGTAAGTGCTCGACTCGCTCGACTGGTATTTAGAGTGGAAGAGACATGTAACCTGCAGAATTCCAGCCATATTCATACATCCTAACAATTCAATATCAGTTTTATTACATAAACATGACCAAAAAAGGCTTCATCAGTACTTACAGAAAACAAGCATTTTGAAGATGGGACCCACAGATTCGAGCTACCCGTATCAAAAATAACAGTGAATTTCTGAGGTGGGGTCCCAACACCAATCTCTCCAAAGTACTGAGCATCCATATAGTTTTTCAGAGCCACAATATCTGTGTCCGCATTATTCACACCTTCGGCTTCGGCCCTCGATTTTTCCCTTCCCTTCAACTCGAGACGATTGTTTTGGTCCAATTTCAGCTTTTTTAGCCCAATTCTGAACAGCCCATCAGAGAGCGCAAGAGAGAAAAACAGATTCGAAAGCAAAAGGCACAGAGCAATTGTTTTGAATTTGGTTCCCATATTGACCTATATAACATCAAATTCCCAATTTCTCATTTATCTTGCAGCTGTGTACAGATTCAAACATGAACTCGATCGTATGTAATTACTAATTACTAAAAAATGGGCACATAGGGAAAAATAATGTTCATCAATTATTTATCACATCACGTCCCCTTTTTTCACTTATTTGAGCAACGAGTTAAAGACTCCATTTTTATTACTCTTCCATGCAAGAAAAAACTGCCCAATTCTTCTCTCTGCTAAAACTTCCCCTTTTTCCTCTCTGTAAAGGTGCAATGTTATAAATCAAAGCTAAGAAGCCACTAATTTTTTTCCTTCTTTTACAAGAAACCTTCATCAACATTCTCGTAGATTCATAAATCACACAATATATCAACTCAAAGAACTAAAAGTAAGAAATTAATTCTGCTCGCAGAACAAAGCCCATGAAAATGCTACCATTATTTAAACAGAAAAATCACCCCATTATCCAAAAACCCATTATGAGAAAACTAACGCACTCACCGGAAACGTAAAGGCTCCGAAGGAGAAAGTTTTTGAGTTTTGAGTGAATACACACACATCTGAGCACACCAGTGTGGCAGTGTGTATAAATATTAAATAGAAGCGAAAAAGCAACCATCTGGGAAAAATCTGAGCCGTTGATTGATCTACAAGCCACCCATTTTCAGCCGTTGGATAATAACCGCGAAAAATGTCACCATCACGAGATGTTCGTTTTGGAGCACGCTGAATAGAAGAGTGGAAGCAAAAAACATTTTTTTTCCAAATCGAGGTGGTGAGCTAAGCTAGGCTGCGCCGGGCCCCAGGGGATCAAGTTGCGCCCGTTAGATCTGAAGCGTTGTTAATTGATCTGACGGTGGAGATGAGTTTCTTGAGTAAAGATCAGGTTAGTTAGAAAGAGGTTTAAGGGTATTTTTGGAATACATGTTTAACTGAATACTTACGTGTCAGAAAATTAAGTGAGAGAAGCATAACACGCGACGCAACATGGGCCCCACTTTCTGTTGCTTTGGTGTACGAGGTTCGTGATGTGTGAAGGTTTTGAGTTTTTTTTTTTTTAATTTTTTTTATTTTATTTCATATATTTAAATTGTGGATATTTGTAGATAATTAAAATATAACTATATTAATTATGTATAAGAACTACCAGAATAAACTTGATATAACTAAAAAAGAGTAAATTATAGCATAAATATATAGCACTAATTTCAAAAATTTACATTCCTATTTTTTAGAAAATAGAAAAGCATAAAAGCTAAAAAGATAACCTTTAATTTTATGATGTGTGCTTGTAAAAAATAAAATTACAATTATAGGACTTCAATTGATTAATGTAATAATGTTCAATGAACTAATTTGATACACCTCAAATTTACATATTACTTTTTACAAAACATTTTAACTAGGGTTGAGATTTTACTGTCAAAGACCGTGAAACCAAGTCGTGTTCACTCTGCCCGATTTGATTCTTTTAGATTCTATCGCGATTAGCCACATATAATTATTTTATACTTTTTAACTCAAAATTCAACTCAAGTTTCTTCAATTTTAATTCATTGTTCATCACTCACATATATTTAAATGTCTATCGTTTCAAATAACTTCTTCTATACTTTCACATCACATCAACTTTAGTTGTTACATTTTAAATATTATTTAACTACAAACTAAAAATCTCAGCTATTTTATCATTCAATCAACTTTATTCAAAATTAACATATTTTATCTAATAAATTAAATAAAATAAAGTATATCCAATCAATTGGGCATGTTCTCGATTCTTGCCCTTATTATATATGTATTAACATAAAGTTAAGGATAAACATGGGTCGAGAGGGTTCGAAAATCCAAAAATCTTGAGAACTGTCTCGAGATTTGAAGATCAACAAATTGAATCTCCAGAACCGCTCTGTTGTGAAGAAATCTCCATCTTGAACCGTACTGATTTTCAGCTTGGTTCAAAGATTCGGGTCAACCAGGATGGTTCAGTACGAATTGGAGATTTTGGATTTTTTTTTTCTTGTAAAGTTAAACCCCTTTCCAAATAATTATTATGTTATAGTCATATATATTGTTAAATTTAAGCAAATGTTAAAATAATTATGTACAAAAAAAGTATATGATAAAATGTTATATAGAGTTTTTTTTTTATAAAGAGAACAATATTATTAAATATGAGATCTCCAGAAAGCTTTAACAATATTGTTGACATACATTGTTGAATTTATGCAAATGCTAAAATAAATATGTACAAAAAAAGCATAAGATAATATATTATATGCATATGGTTTTTAAAGAAAAATAATACTATTATTAATTATGAGATTTTCATGAAACTTTAACTATGTTATTGTCATATGTTTTAAATTCATACGATATTAAAATAATTATGTAGAAAAGAAACAAAAAAGCATAAGTTAAAATATTATACACATAATTTTTTTTAATAAGAAGAGTAGTATTATTAAATTTAGATTTTCATAAAACTCTAACTACATTATGGGACATACATGGTTGAATTTATGAAAACACTAAAATAATTATGTACAAAAGAAAATATATGACAACATATTATATGCATATAAATTTAGGAAAAGAATAATAGTATTAATTTAAATATGACATTTTCATTAACCTTTAATTATTTTTGGTGTCATAGCTTGTTAAAATTTATACTATACTAAAATATCATGTACAAAAGAAAGCATAAGATAAAATATTATGCACATATAACTTTTGAATAAGAAGAAAAATATTATTAAAAATGAGATTTTCATAACTACATATTGGCATTGTTGAATTTATGCAAATGCTAAAATACTTAGGCACAAATTGAAGCATGTGATATAAAACAATTATGTATAAAAAAGTGCATAAGATAAAATATTATAAACATATAAATTATGAATGTTTTGGAATTGGTTATTGATATCGGTTCTTCGTTTGGTACGATTATTTTTTATTCGATCATGTTCGGTTCATATATCGTGACGGTTATTTTATGAATCTCTATAATTATAACCAAAAAAAATGGTACCATTCAGTTCGAAGATAGTCAAACAATCAATACATACTTTTCAATTATGTTTGTCTAAAAAGTTCGGTAATCTCTAAGTCTCGTGCTTAACCCTATGCAAAGTGTATTTTCCAAAGTTCACTACATTCCGGCAGAAATTACTACGCCTCTGGCCCAATAAGGTTGAGCTCATAATCAGTGGTGGCCCATATAAGTGGGCTTTAGTAAAAGTAGACTCATCTCCAGTTATCTTTGTGAACCAGTCCAAAAAACTGTTTGGGTCGATGATCCCAACAAGACCCGAAAAGCAAAAGTTGCAATTTGAGTATGTTTTAAGTTTCATGCAGGGATTGATATATCAAATCAAAGATGGTAAGGCTGTACATATATGGGAGATGCCGTGGGTCCCAAATCTTCCAAATTTTAAACCTGTGGGCAAACATCCTAGGAACACATTTCTAATTTGGGTTGCAGACCTCATGGATAACACAGGATGGAGATGGAACAAATGTTTGGTTGAAGAATGGTTTCTCCCAGAGGAGGCGAAGGCAATTCTGGAAATTTCCGGATTAGATCCACATCACAGGGACTTCTTAGTTTGGAGCTAGAATAAAAATGGTAAGTACTCAGTTGCTTCAACTTACTCAAAGTTGATAGAAAACAATTGGAGGCTTATGGATATTGCAGGCTCAAGCTACAACCAGTCAGAATTGAAGAAAATCCGTAGAAGAACTTGGAATTTGAAAATTCAAGGCAAATTAAAGCACTTCATTTGGAAAGGAATCAACAACATTCTCCTAGTCTTGATCAACTTGCACAGAAAAGGGCTTATGCTTGACATGAGTTGTAAGTTCTGTGGAGAGGAAAATGAATCTCAAGAACACCTTTTCTTTCATTGCTCTCGAGCTCAGTTGATCTGGAAATTATCACCAGTTTCTTAGGATGGACTTAGTGCAGATACAGGTTGCTTTCGAACTTGGTGGCATTCTCTATGTGCAATCCCCGTCCTACCAGTCACACAAGATAGAATCCAATTATCATGCTACTTATTCTGGTGGATGTGGAAAACTCGAAATCTCTGGGTGTTTCAACAAACATTTAGATCGGAAAGAGACACAGTGCGATTGACCTTGGAAAATTGGAGCAGTCATTCAGTGTACTAATTAAGAGTTAGTTTTCTTTTGGTTTGTTAGTAGTTTATTTTGTTTCCTAGTTGTTTTGGGTGTAGGTTTTGTTAACCTGCTAGGTCCCTTTCAGGGTTCAGTGGTAGGTTAATTTTGTTGGCATGGTGTTGCCGCGGTTAGGGATTGATGTCAACTCCTGGAGACTTAGCATTGTCTATGCTGGGAGATTGTGCTTTCTCTTTTTTATTTAAGGTTGACTAGCCTTCATTATTTCCTTCTGGACTGTAATTGGCAATGTAGCCGGAACTGATGTACATATTTAATCTTATATAAATTCTTTCGTTTTGGAAAAAAAAAAAAAAAAAGTTTCTAACGGTGATTTGCTATTGATCGAATATTGGTACGAACACTATAAAAAGATTGGATAAGTAGAGTTGGGAGCTTCAATTTAGTATATAAATTTCGTAAATTATTCGTCACAAATTTCGAGAAGAAAACGAAGATTGGACGAACTAACACTAGATTAAAGGGTTAACTAAAAATTAAAACCCAAAAATGTTACAGGATAAATTGACAGAAATTAAAGGTAATAAACCAAATTAAATTTGAAAAAGTCAATGGAGTAGAAAATTAAATATACAACATGTCTAAATTTATGTGTTAACCAATTGACTGATTGAAATTTTTCTTAAATAATCGTGTTCATTATTTATTATACACGTGACACGTTCATTATTTTCTATCCAAGTAAAAAGATTGAATCCCGATACAAAATCCTAGTAGTGATTTGGTTGGTCTCATGTTTATTCCACATATTTGAATCGTGACATTTTTAATATGAGTAATGCTACAAGTACATAATAGTGTACATGTAGCATTTTTCTTTTAATTTTTGATAATCACTTATTTTATTTGTTATCTTTTTTATATATATAATTTATTAAATTAATATATTTTTACCATTTTTTTATTTATACTCAATATTTTATGAATAAAATAATTTACATCCAACATTATAAATAAAAATTAAATTATCTAATATATCTTAATTAGAAAATAATAAAATAATAATTGGTAGTTCAATTATTATATCAAGACTCTTTAACTTTGTATATCAAGAGACTCTTCTAATAAACTAATTAAGACAGAACAATCAAATCTTGAATAAAAAATTCTATCTTTTCAACATTTTAAAATATAAATTTCTAATTAACACACTACAAAAAATTAATAACACTATTGTTTGTTGTAACACTAATAGTATTTTCTTATAGTGAAAGGTCATACTTTTGTTTTAAATATTTTAAAACATGATATTTAAATTTAACTTTTTTTTTATTAAAAATGTAATTGTACAAGGTACTGTACAATTATCATTAGGATGACATTCTTCTTACATGATCATGACATCATGTTCATTTATGTACACATGGCCGTTAAATTATTTTCAATGCAATTATGCAAGGATTGAATCCCGGGATTTTAAAGATAACGAGACAAAATCCTACTATTGATTTTGACGGTCTTACAATTTTTCCTCACATTTGAATGATTGAATCATGGTATTATTTGGAAAAAGAAATGGAAAAAAAAAAAAATCATGGCATTACTAATTCTAGAAAACACACACCAAAATATTGTTATTATTTTAATCATCAATCTCAATTAAATGTTTGTATATATATACATATGAATATAGTTTTTTTGCTTTT